ATTAAAAAATGAGTAAGCACATAAACATGAAGTATCATGTGATAAGGAGCTTTATTGAAGGACATGTGGAAATATGCAAAATCGAGTTGGAGGACAATATGACTGACCTGTTTACAAAGGCCCTGCCGGCTAAAGCCTTCGAGAAGCATGTCAAGGCTATGGGGATGCGTAGCAAGTCACATTTACTCACTTAAGTGCAAGTGGGAGATTGTTAGTGTTTATGCCCCTAGGAATAAATGTAACGATGTTCTTTGGGACATTTTGACCATTAATAAAGATTTATTAATTTCGTATATCTATGTATTGTACTCGTTATGTTCAATATTAGTTGAATGTATGATAAACAAACTGAAAGTCTTTAGGTCATGCATGTAATGTGAAGAACATGCGGAATACATGAATATAAAGATGATAGTCTAAATCATATGATCCACAATCGAGATAATAAATTTGGACGCTTTATTTATGATAAGATTGTTATGTTGTCTGCTTCCTAACGGTGACGGTTTGTCTTGGTCGTCGGAGGTGGGACTTCATGGGTAGAGACATTGATATAGTTTCTAATGGTGAAATCTATATTAGATTGGACCAAAGTTAAATTGTTTTAATTAATAATTCCGTTTGAATAAAACAATTCACTTTTGATGAATTATATGTTATCTTAATCCTAAGATGGATAATGAACCTGTATTCTTGACTTGTATCTTTTGATGTACCAAAGGGAGACATCCTGACATTATGTAAAGGTACGCTTACCGGTACATTAGGAGTATGACTCGTGTATGCGTAGATTCGTTATTCATAAATAGTGGAATCCATAGCTCTTACAAAGAGTCAATGATATCCTTTTATACATTATCTGTGGATTGAAAAATACGAGCGCTCGGCCATTAGACTACTCTGTGTTATCTAATGGTTTACTATTTGTAATGGTACGAATAGTGATTTTCTTGATGGTGTGATAATGGAACATAAGATAAATGTAATCGGGAAGGTAAAACGGAACATGACCTTAAGTCGATTATGAATATCCTATGGGGATGATACACTAATATATTGAGTCATAGACGAGAGCTATTCAGAACTTTGTAAATACGCTATATAAATCGAGAGTACAACTCTAGGCTTTTAGTGGAGTAGCGTTAGAGTTTTATAATCATGAGACGGACTTGTTGGTTTACAAGTAGTGTAGTGATTATAAGAGCCTGATTTATATATGTCCATCGGGTCCCTTTGCTAGCTCACATAATTTCCTGTAACGATACGGTGTATTTGCTACATATTGGTAACTTTTATTATTTCCGTAAAATATGTTCAAAATTAATATGAGATTGGTTAATTCATGAGTGTGATGTATCGGGTGAATTAATTGATAAATTAATTCTAGATAAATTAGTTGAATTATTGTTTTAAGAGTTTTTTAATATGGGAAGACTATTATATGACTATTTTGATCATGCAACTTCTCTATTGGGTTGTTTGAATCAAAATTGAGACTCTATGCAAGTTTCACATGCTGAAAAACTAGGAAAAAGAGTTTCGTCAGTGCAGACAGGTCGACCAGTCGAGTAGACCGGTTCATGAAGACATGTCGACCGGTGTGTTATAACGTCTCTGTCACCGGTCAACCGGTTGTAACGTGTAACACATACTGAGCGAGATAAACTTTGAAAAACCTAATTGTTATGAAAATATGACTTCCTAAACACTATAAGTAGCCTGTTAAGTCACATTATTCATTAGATCACTCGAGAGACTTTTTGGAAGCTATTGACAAGATTCCTAAGAGGAAAAATTATTTAATTCTCAAGAACAATTTTTCCTTTAGCTCTCTTGTGGTTGGAAGGAGTTCAAGAATACCAAGAGGAGATTGAACGACGTGTGCCCACCCGCACTCCGATCGTGAAAACGAGAATAGCAAAGAAAACCAGTTGGTTAAGGCTCTTCCGGTTGCTGTTTGGAAGCGCAATGATCTGTCAGACGTGCAGTTTTTTAAATCTCAAAAGATATGATTTAGATTTTTAGTATTTATGTTATATAGCATCATGAACATATTCCTGATTGGCTTTGATATTGATTTAAATTTTTTAAAATTCCACTACGCACTCGATGCCGTATTATCCAACAGCTAGGTCACTGCTTTTTACAAATAATGTTCCAAGGTATTTGTGGGGTGTAGCGGTTCTTACTGCTACTTTTTTGATTAATCGAATGCCAACAAGAGTTTTGCACTTTCAGACACCATTAAATTGTTTTAAACAAAACTTCCCCACATCACGGCTTGTTACTAATATTCCCCTTAAAATATTTGGATGTGTTGCATTCATTCATGCGCATAACCATAACCGTGGGAAACTTGATCCAAGGGCAAAAAAGTGTTTTTATTGGTTACTCACCGACACAAAAAGGATACAAATGTTTTGATCCAATTTCAAAGAAAGTGTTTGTAACTATGGACGTGACATTTTTTGAAACACATAAATATTTGTGATAATCATCTTCAGGAGGAGAATAATAGAGAAGATGCTATGCCTGAAACTGAGCTTGAAAATACATTGGAAATAGACCCTGCTGCTACCTCTCTTGACAAACCTATAACATCTACATCCACAGTCAAACCCATGAGTAAGGAATCCTCTAATCACCTGAATATGAGTCCTATCATAGCTCTAGAGTCAAATCCACACCTAGAAGCTGATATTTTAGAAGTTAGAAATAATAATGGAGGACCTCCTACAATGCCATTAGATGATAAGTTGGGAACAATGATGTGTGAGAAACCAAGTGAGAAAATTCAAGAGCTCCGTGCCTACTCAAGAAGGAAACAAATTCAAAGAAAGGAAGTGCATACTTTGCAGCAGTGCCGTGAAACTAACTCGGGAACGGATCCAGAGTCTTCCTCAGGTAAATCTTCTTCTCAGTTTGATTCTTTAAAGTCTAGTACTCAATCCGAGTCCATTGATAATCTGGATATTCCTATTGCTCGTCGTAAGGGAGTTAGATCTTGTACTCAACACCCTTTGTCCAACTTTGTGTCTTATGAAAAGTTATCACCTTCTCTTCGTGCTTTTACCTCACAATTGTCTAGTGTAGAAATTCCGAGAACAGTACAGGAGGCTCTAAGTGTTCCTGAGTGGAAAGAGGCTATTATAGAAGAGATGAGGGGCCTGGAAAAAAATGGAACTTGGGAAGCTGTGGACTTGCCTGTGGGAAAGACAATAGTTGGCTGCAAATGGGTCTTTATAGTCAAGTACAATTTAGACGGCACATTGGAGAGATATAAGGCTCAGTTCGTGGCTAAGGGGTTCACACAAACATATGGGATAGACTACTTAAAAACATTCGGCACCTGTTGCAAAATTTAATACAGTACGAGTGCTTTTGTCTATTGCTATAAATTTAGACTGGCCATTACAACAACTAGATGTGAAGAATGTGTTTCTGAATGGGGATTTGGAAGAAGTGTTTATGGACTCTCCTCCCGGTTTTGATAAAAAATTTGGGTCAAGAGTGCAGGTTAAAAAAGTCATTATATGGACTCAAGCAATCACTAAGAGCATGGTTCGAGAAATTCACTCAATGTGTAAAGAAGCATGGGTACATTTTTGTTTATTAAATTCTCAACCGAAGGGAAAGTTGCAATCCTAATTGTCTATGTGGATGACATCATCCTCACCGGAGATGATTTGACTGAAATGAGCAGATTGAAACAGAGCTTGGCGTCTGAGTTTGAGATTAATGATTTGGGCCAATCAAGATACTTTTTTGGTATGGAAATTGCAAGATCCAAGAAAGGCATAGTAGTCTCTCAACGAAAGTATGTTCTAGATCTTTTGAAAGAGACTGGGATGAGTGGCTGTAGACCTGCTGAAACACCAATGGAGCCGAACCTAAAGCTTGGAGAGATTGAAAAAGGAACTCCAGTGGACACCGTGAGATACCAGAAGCTGGTTGGGAAGTTGATATATCTGTCACATACTCGCCCAAATATTGCATTTGCAGTCAGTGTTGTAGGCCAATTTATGCACTCTCCATATGAAGAGCACCTTGAGGCAGTTTATCAAATCCTAAGATATCTGAAGAGTACTCCAGGAAAGGGGTTGTTCTTCAAGAAGAGTGAACAACAGGGTATTGAAGTCTACACTGATGCTGACTGGGCTGGATCCATTATTGATAGGAGATCCACGTCTGGATACTGTACCTTTGTCTGGGGTAATTTGGTTACGTGGAGGAGCAAGAAGCAAAGTGTTGTAGCTAGGAGTAGTGCTAAGGCTGAGTTTAGATCAATGGCTCATGGGATATGTGAGATCTTGTGGCTGAAGCGGATTCTTGAAGAGTTAAAAAGGCCAATTGACAGTCCGATGAAACTTTATTGTGATAACAAGGCTGCCATTAGTATTGCTCATAACCCTGTGCAACATGACCGAACGAAGCACGTCGAGATTGATAGACATTTCATAAAAGAGAAGCTTGAAGCTGGAGTTATTTGCTTGCCATTTGTTCCAACAACAACACAACAAATAGGTGACATCCTAACTAAGGGACTTCTTCGACCTAATTTTGAATTTCTGATAAGCAAATTGGGCATGATAGACATCTATGCACCAATTTGGGGGGGAGTGTCGGAAAAATAGGGATTAGTTGCTGCAATAGATAAGTTTTATTAGTTTTATGTTCTATCAAATAGGATTTGAATTCTGAAATTTAAGTTTGTAGGATAAGGTAGTTTTAGTTTTATCTTCGTGTATCTAGGAAAGGATGAGATCCTTATCTAATCTCTCCTTTATATTTTCGGTTTTGTTCCTTGTTTCTGCAATTCAATAAAGAATTTTATTTCCCCCAAAAATCTTCACATTCCATCTCTCCAAATACAAAACAATAATTAAATCTTCAAATTTCAACTAAATATCGGACAAATATAATAGAGAACAGCTCGTAAGGCATAAATCATATTATGTAGCATAAAACTACTAAAAACTCATTAAGTTAATGATTCTTACGTGTAGGATAAGACAAGTTCACACAGTTTGCGCGTCTTACAAAATGCGATGCAACGAAGACCATGCTGAACCATTTCTGCAAAAAGGAGTGAAACATCCAAAATTGGGCTGCAAAGATAAACAAAGCATCAATTACTATAATACTGATTTTGTCACAAAAAAAAAAAAAAAAAAAAAAAATGAAAGAAAATGGGAAAAACAATGATATAAAATATGGGATTTGTAATTTGTATGTCCATCTAAGGCTCCCTTCTGGAGTGCGACAAGCACACCCCAATTATGGAGTAGGCTTGCTTGTATTTATCCACTTATAATTTCACGTATGCATGTACAATTCTCAAGGTGAGAGAAAAGTGATAAACACTACATTTCCAGTAAATGACAAAAACTGAGTGGTAGACTGCTCTTGAGAATGACACTGAAATTACATATTTGAAAACCCAATCATCATCTACTTCAAGTATATGGCAATAGTTTTTGGGGAAACTTGACATCAAAAAAGAAAGGGAAATATCCCTAAATTTTCAATGCACAAAAAGGTGACATTGTTACCTTGTACTTCTAAATTTATCAGCATATTCACTAGCATCCTTGCCACCATGTCTTTTCTTTGACACCTATAAGCAAACAATATTGAGATAAATTTTAGAACTTTCATCGTACCAAAATTTTAGACGACAGATTTATAACAAAGCACCCACATTTTCTCGATCAACAACAGGATTCCAAAGAATAAAAAGCTTCCAGGCAGCAGGACTTCCATCATTCTGAATCAACTCTAATGTTGGGAGATTTGCAAGATCCTGGGTGAATGGAAAGTAATTTCTCACATGTTTGGATAAGAATTATAATTAAAAGAAAAGAAAAAAAAATCCAACACATGTGAGTTTCTGAGAATAGAATTCGATAATTCTCATTCATTATTCTGACTGAATTGTACAGACTTAAGTAGCAAGGAAGGAAAGGATCACTTCCTGAAAATAAGCAACTAAAATAGGAAAAAAACGGAAAAAACAGGGAATCGGTGATACAAAACCGGTATCCCTTTATTCTAGGTAACAAAATAAGCTAATTATTAACAGCTAATCCCTGGAAATCAGATTACAACTAATTCCTAAAAATCAAGTTGTAAACCACGGATTTCCACACATGTGAGTGCTTGTACGTAGCTTATATTTCTATATATGAGCATGGGTGCATATTGTTAGGAACATGGCAATTTCTTAAGAAATTAAGCTTTATTGAATCAAAATAGAATGAAGAAACGCCGTTAAAGCAACATTCGAGAGGCTGCAACTCTCCCAAATCTTGGTTTCCCAAGCCCTAAATAAACCCAAATCACTCACAAATCAGACATAAACCCTTCATAAGCTACTAACTCCCTTATTTATACTAATTTCTAGTGACTCCACCAGCTAACTCCCTAAACTAACTACCCAAATTCCTAAAGAACCCTAACAAATATGCTATCATTTTCTTGTTTTGGGAGCTTTCTGTAAAATTCACCCTTTACACGGGGTATCTACTCTCTGAATGCTTCTAACTAGATTACTCTTGAGGCTTGACCTTAAAAAATAAAAAAAATAAAAACTAGGCAAGACACTGATGAAGAACCATGTCAGAACAAGCTCTCAGGCAGCTGATAAGGCTATCTAACAGGTCTATGACACACTCGCAACTCCTTTAGACTAGGGCCAAATAAAAGGACGTGTCAAGCATTAAGGAAATCTTAGCAAATGGATGAAACAGAGCTACTCATTCCAACATCCGCTTGTAATACTTGTACCATCAAAGCATACTTATATATGCACGTCTATATTCAAGTTTCTCATCAACAGTGTTCCGTGGGCTACCAAGGTAATTGCAGAAAGATATCATCCACCCAGTGACCAACACCACCCTATTTACCAGACTTTCTTCTAACGTAACAAAGACGGAGCAATATCCAAGAAAGATTTAGAAACTAGCTACAAAAGGTACTAAACCAAACATTGAAACTAGGCAAAATTTAAACTTGTAGTAGACAATATGTAATTATCTTTCAAAAGTCTTTACCATACAATGTTCACGAGGATTTGCAGAAGTTGCTGTAGAAAATACAAAAGAAGGATCACTTCCATACACTGCACATAGAAGAAGCAGCCAAGTAATTTCTCCAAGCTAGGTAGAGAAAACACCAACATGTGTGTGTGTGTATCTACCTACCTACATGTAATGAAAACCTAAACAAAGAGTATACTAAGCGTTCACCATCTTTTGTTAATTCTAGAAAAAAAAAAAGTTTACCATGTGCACAGAGACGATGAAGTCTTCTTAGTATAAAAGCAGTATGGCAACCAAATGCTCCCTTGTAAGTATGCGCCTCATCAACAACTACAAACCTAACATACAAAAATATTAAAATTCTTAAAAAGAAAAAAAATACGATTACTGACAGAAATTAAGTTTTAAGTCGAATAACGCCAAACCTAAGGTTTAATAAGATCCGCCCAAATTGTTTATGGTATGGCAATATAGACAAATGCAGCATGTCTGGATTTGTGATCAACTGTGTGCAACCAGAAAAAATTTAAGCACAACTTAATCCAAGAAAAGCGTTAGGCAATTCTAAGTTATTATTACCAGTCTAGCATTATCACGGAGCCACGCCCTATCCCCCTGAGAAGTATCACCATCATATACACCAATGTTTAAGCCACAATCAAGTTCTTTTGTCGCGAATAATAAAGCTCGTAGTTGATCCTGAGCTAAAGCCTTCAACCATGAAGCATTTGGATTAAAAACAAACATAATATACATGCATGCGTAAGTGCGTGCTTATGGTTTACATCAATATTTATTATCCCATCCTACCTTTGTCGGAAATAAGTACAGAGCACATGATGACATATTCTGAGACAACACTTGTAATACTGGCAGATTATAGCAAAGAGATTTGCCACTAGATGTCATTGTTGCTACAACAACATTCTTTCCAGCCAAGGATGCTTCTATTGATTCTGCCTACAAAAACCGCGACTTCATAAGAGATGAAGCACAATAAAAAGGTATGGATTTAAGCAAATAGCCACACATATAACATCCACACCTGGTGGCTATACAGTTTAGTGACTCCAATATTTTTAAGTGTGGACATCATGTCTTGTGAAAGATTATTTGGAATTTCCACATGAACTGCCTTCCTAGCACCAATGTCTTCAACATGAACAATCTGCACCAACCAGACCAATGCCAGAGTGAACCGATAACTGGAATCTTTAAGTGGACGTTTGGTTCATAGATTCAGAACCATGATTCAGAACCATTCTTGTTTTACATGTTGTTTTTGTGAGAGAAAAATATTGTAGAGAACCATGAATCATGATTCAGAATCAAGGACGAATGCAGGCAACAAAAGTCCCATAAATTGTTCACCTCTATTCCCAAACTCAAACAAACAGTTATTTGAAAACAAAAGAAAACGGGACAAAAAATGAGTAAAAGAATAACCTGTCCATGGGATCCAAGTCCCTTCTTAAGATGTTCAACCATTTCCAAAGGTGTCAATTTATTTGTGCCCTGGGGATCCAAGATGTTGTTAGGAAGGCATATAATGTTTTCTCATCTTCTCAAAGTAACAACAACAACAACAACAACAATAATAATAATAATAATAATAATAATAATAATAATAATAATAATAATAATAATAATAATAACAAAAAATGAATTTACACAGATGGATTCAACACAATGAAAATATGCATAAGATAAATACCAAATATACTCTCGAGTAAGAAAAAAAAAATATTTGAGATCAATACCCAATTTGCATGAGGAAATCAAAATACCAAAATTCACGCAAGCTATAATTTATTATTCTACTACACAATTTCGTTTAAGCAATTCAAACGGGTCAATAGAACTCTATTACCCCATATTAGACAGCCACTGAATCCTAAGCTATGTTCCCCCATGCATCAATGCAGAATTACTTATAGGACGCCATAGGATCCAAAGATAGCAATAGAAAAGAATTCAGAATAGAATTTGCAACACAAGATAACAAAAACCTCTGCAACTGAAGGGGAATATTGCAACTCATTCCAATGATATAAAGAATTATATCACCTCTTTTATTTATTTATTTTGTATACTTTTGTTTTCCTTTTTCCTAATCTGTATGGTACATAATTGCATCTTTATGAGCCATTCCAGAGAATCAAAAAAGCACTAACTTTGCAAATTTGTGAATCAAGACCGACATGACATCTCTTTGGATCTGAATGAGAGCTTGAACTCGCAGAACTTCTAGCCTTTTTCCTTTCCTTCCTATTTGAAGTTGCAGCAGAACCACAATTCTTGACAGAAAGGAGTAATTCTTCCAAGGATAAAAATGCAACTTTCCCATTTCCTTCAGCAAACTGCACGAGTTCTCGACACATGCAATGTCTCATAAGTTACTGTTTGCAGAAGGATATTTACCTTCCACTGAAAAAAAAAAGGTGAATCTTTTCTAGCAAAGAAACTCACTCTCTCTCAGAAAATTTCACCAACAGAAGAGGAATATGAAAATGGAGAGAACTAAACGACGACATAGGTTAAGAATAAATTGTACATCTAAGAAAAATGTCATTTGTGTTTCCTTCAATGTAGAATATAATTCACGTGTACTCACTATATGAACATTGCCATTGTCTAAGTTATCAAGAAAATGTAAAGCTAAACGGAGAGTGGTTAAACATACCATGAAGCACTGAACAGCTTCCCACAAAGTAGTTCTCAAAGAGCATTCCCGTTGCTTCAGAGAACAAAAAATTTCTGATACATCCATTCCTCTGCACGCTACAGCTAACAAGTATGAGGCTAATGCAAAAAGATAAGCCCTCAGAAAATTCAGAAGTTAAACAAAAAGAGAAAGAGCAAGAGAGAGGATGAAGATATTTCTCTTTAGCTGTACCAAATTTAGAATTTTCTTTCACTTGAACTTTCTGCTGTGTCGAACAGTTAATAATAATAGCACCAGTGCAGCTTGTTTGATCTTCAGCATCATTTGCAAAACATACCACCTGGACCAAAAAGAAAGGGAACAAAAAACAGCTTTTTTAGTTCTCTCTTCTAGCAAGCCTAAAATAGACGTGGACAAAGAGGGCAAAAGCATAGAATTTCTCAAGAAATCTTTGGCCGCATTTGATCAGGTTTTGACGGATGAAAAGTATTGAATTTTTCTTCCACAGTCAAACTGATTTTAAAAGTGGGGGAAAAATAAAAGTTCATTTCACAAGGAACAAAAAAGCTGAGAGAGAGTGAAAGATAAAACTGGGTTTACTCCTTTCAAAACAAGGAGCACATACACGCAGCAAATATATAAGCAAAGCTATATGGAAATTTCATATGGAAAATATAGCAACTAATGATATTCAACTTGCCATGGAACTCTTACCATTATATCAAAAGCAGAATTTACGTAATGTTGAGAATTAAATTCAATACCTTAGGAGAAAGAGCAGAAAGATGCTCTAAGTCCTTCATGTCAAGATTAACTCCAAATTTGCCAAGCTGGTCCATCATTTCTTCCAAAAGGGTCAAGCTAATTCTTTCTCGCCTCAACTGAAGAAGTGCATAAACAATGTTTAAGAAAGCAAATGCCTTCAGTATGGCTTTCAACCACGCGGGACACAGACATGAACTACCACAATTTTTCTGCAAACCTTTACCATTGACTCCAAAACCCAATAAACCGACTCTTCTTGAATACAAGCAATCTCCAGAAAGCGGGTCTGATAAACAACTAATCAACCCCAAAACCTTGACTAATCTTTCACAATGCTTTTCATCAAGAACATTCTCACTCTCGGGAGAACTCAGTATATCCAGTATCAAATCATCATAATCATTACCCCTCTTCCTCTTCACCGTAGAAAAGCCGGAACAAACAGCCCCCGCCATTTCTTCTCCCCTATCTCCATGACTAAAACTACAGCGCTCCGTGTTTGAATCTCCAGTGCTAGCAGAGTCACGCAAATTCGACAAATCTTGCATAATTTCCGACCAAGCCGAATCAGCAAATTTCGAGATTGAGTTTTCATTGGTGACGTTCGTTGAGGTTTTAGATCGATCAGATTTCTGTGTCTGGTTAGAGTTCTTCTTAGTAAACGGAACAAGAACTATAAATTCACCGTCACGGATACTTTGCATACCTATTCTACTCTGCAATCTCAATTTAACACCCTGAAAAACGTAAATTCCAACCAATGAGAACATCCAAAGCCATAATTTGAACATAATAAACCAATATCTACTTACGTTTCTCATTTGCAAATAGATAAAAAGTACTAAACAAGAAAAGCAAATTTCATTCATTTTCTATTTGATTTTGTAGAGAGAGAGAGAGAGAGAGAGAGTTTGCCTTGAAGAAGAGATGAAAATTGGGGGAAAGAGAAGCCGGAGGGAAATTATGACTGAGAAGAAGCTTGAGGTCTTCGACGGTGCTGTCCCCGGAAAGCTTGACGGTGGTGGATTCGCCGGTGATTGTACGGACCACGATTTCTCGGACGGTCTCTGTACCCGCCATTAACGGCGTCGCGAGCGTAAAATTCTCGCTCTTCTTTCGAAGCTCTAGAGAGAAAAAGTGAAAAATGTCAGAGTCCGCGTGTTATATAGGAAAGGTGTTTATCGAGGGTTTGTTTAGGTTTTAGTTTCGGAATTCGAAGCATAAGAAGAAGAAGACAATTTTTTGTGCTAGGAGTTGGTACAGAGAAACTGTCCTCTAATTTGGCGGGGAATTTCGTTATTAGGGAAAGCTCACTTTTGTGTATTGGATTTTGTTTTTTTTGTTCTTTTTTTTTTTTTGTGTGAAAGATTTGTTGGATTTGGTTTGATATGTTTATTAGGGAGTTTTTTTAGTAGGATAAAAAGAGTAGTTTTTTTATTTTTATTTGTTAAATGATTTGTATTAAAATTTATTTATTTTATATATTTTTTTAATTTTGTATGATTTTAATTAAATTTAACGATTAGAAACTGATCTTACTAATAAACTGTCCTACTAAAAACGGTCCTTATTTATTAATAGTTTGAATTTAATTGTATTTATTTTAATTTAGGAAACAATTCTTTTGATGGATTTAGGAAACAATTTTTAGAGATTTACTTTTAGTAACTTAGCTAATTCTCTAATTATAATTTTGGAAAAAGAGTTGAATGGCATTTTTAAAAATATATTTATAATGAATATTAATTTTTAATAAGTTAAGTTTACTGTAAATATGCTTAGTGAATTAATCATTTATCGTATTAACTTATTTTCAAATATACTTTATAAATTAATTATTTATCATAAATATATTATTTATTATAAATATTTTAAAATATTTTGTTTATTATAAATATTTTTTTTTAAAAATGCTCTATTTATTATAATTTCACTTAATAATATTTTGTATATATATAGAGCTAATTGATGGTGCAAGTTTTGTGTGTGTGTGTGTGTGTGTTTCTCCTCTCCTTTTTCTAGTGTAGAGTTCATGCTTTTTACTAGTGAATTTCCCTCTTATCCTAGTTTGTAAAGGTCATTGTAGTATATGGAGGAAGATCTAGTTGAGCCACCCTAATTTTTATGTTTTTTTATATTTCTTTTTTATTTTTTCACTTTTTTTTTATAGAGAAGGAGGAAAATAACCTATTTGTATTTGTAAGGAAATAAAAATTAATGGTTGATCTTTTTAGAGTAAAATTATTGTCAAATTTAGTTTGAAATTTTTAAAATACCCTTGTTGCAGCATCTTCTCTTTACCTAACTAAAAACTCATATTGTTGCCGAAGACGGCAACCTACTCACACAGCACGGCGAAGAAGTTAGCGTTGTCGTCTGAGAGCAATCATTGGCCTACGAGTGAAGAATTCATTAGGATGGAGAGGACCAAGACAGATCCCATCCCGAGAGAAAAATCTCTTCATTGCACCTCCAAAATCGTAGTATAGAAATTGCATTTTTCCTCAGGAGGTCGACCGGGGCCCCACATCGACCTACTCCCAAATAAGATGGGAGCACTTCCCAACCCACCCTCGTCACAATGTACACATTAAATAACAACATTATACGTTTAAGAGATAAATGCATCTTTACATTAGTGAGGTGCCCCACACTGAAAAAATGAAACCAAATATATTAGGTTTAGTTGTGAAACCAAATATATTAGGTTTAGTTGTGAGGATCAGGTTTAGGGAATGTGTTACAAGTGCCACCATGTTGTTAATCTATTAAGTTTGTGGTTTTGTTTGGCTCAAGTGAATGTGCTCTTTACAGGACTACCACAAATTTTATGCTTTGATTGACATATGTTAAGGGATATAAACTATTATAAAGAATATTACAGTCATTCATGTCATTACACTAATTTAAAATATCAAATATATCATTATATACTAGTAGGTTTCCAGTTATAATACCATTATCCAACCAAGTCAGACAACCGCCAGTATTAGCGGCAGTGTCGCCGAAATACCCAAAAATTTAAAAAATATATATAAATATTTGGTATGCAAGATGGTATCCACAGCAGATACCAGCCTGTATTTATTGGTATCCGTCAGTATCTACCGTGAATATCGGACTGTCACTGATCCAAAACCGATATAATCGCCTCGGCTATGGCGACAGAATACTTAAAAAGCATAAAATTCATAAAAAATCACAAATATATACATAAAAACCCACAAAAACATCTCATAAAATGTAAAGATATTGAATCAAATACACAAAAATCTCGATCTAGATTACCAAAATAGCAAAGATACTGAATTAAATCCCCCAAAAACCAACATTTTTGGGGGCGCTGCAGCCACAGATTGTGACGGAGACTGGTGAGATCTGATCTTCGTCGGCGTCGCACGGTTGTGTAGAGTAGACCTCCACGGTTGTTCAACTATGCGAGGGAGATACTGGTATCGCAGTCATGGACACCATATCATCATTCCTTGCCCAACCGTACACTGTCGAAACGAGACGTCGCTGTGGTTCAGATCAGCGATGGAGGAGCTTCACAACGACAATGGAAAATATGCCATTGTGGTTCAAATATGTGATGGACTCGGTGGAGTCACTGCACCTAACTCTTCATCATCGCATGGAGTGCCGCAAGGTTTCATTGCTACTGTTGAGTGGAGGTCGCTTTTGATTTGTTGTTGCAGATCGGAGATCTCTAGTGGACCGCAGGCCGGTGATGAAGTCTAGCGGGAGAGAGAGAGAGAGATGGAGAGGTCTTCGAGGGCTAAGAGGAAGAGGAAAAGAACCCTAAAATACTTTGGGGTATTTTAATAATCCATACATGTTTCTTTTTTCAGTACAATGTGGTAGAAATTGCAGAAGTTTTAGTCCAACTGCAAAAAGCGATCCACGCAAAAAAACTCTAGCATTCCTCCTAAATATCCCTAAGCTTTATGTTTATGTCATGTTTATTGATTTAAAAAAAATACATTCTAGTAGAATATCATTAATATTCTATCACACTGCTATCAAAAGATATCTAACCATCTTTGTCGTGAAGAGACAAAAAAAATTTAGTAGCTTATTTTGATTTCCTTTTAGTTTTTTTTTTTTTTTTTTTTTTTTTTTTTTTTTTTTTTTTTTTAGAAATGAGTGACACAAATGTTAAGTTTATGTAATTGGATGGCATAAATGTAAGATCATATCTTTTGAGTGAGATTTTTATATCATATTATTTATATATATATAATATGAACTTGACTTCTTTTTTAAAACAATCATTATATTTTTTTTGTTAATAAATTCGGCCAATGGTTCGTAAACTTTACCCTAATCTCACTTTTAATTTTGACTTTTAAAACTCTCAAATTTAACTTTACTATATTAGTTTTGTTTCAATTTTAATCTTTAAAAGCTCATTTATTTCGTGGGTTTGAATCAGAATTTTATACGTATTTAAATAAAACAATAACTATTTAATAAAAGAAAAATGAGGAAAATGATACATTTTTTGGAAAGGGAATTAAAAAAATAACATAAATTTGAAGTATAGAAATCATTTGCATATTTTGTTTAAAAAAATCATGAAATTAATAGAATGAATACAAAACCTTATTCTTTAAGTGGTTTGAATTTTGTACATCAACTTTTGATCCAATAGCGAATATAGGGGACGTTTGATTCATGGATTCAGAATCATGATTCAGAACCATTTTCATTTTACGTGTATTTTTTGTGAGAAAAAATACTGTAGCGAACCACGAACTATAATTCGAATCATGACACGAATCTCCTTTCCAAACGGCCCCTAATTGATTCTTTTTGCCCTTTAAAATGATTAAAGGGGTTGTTCTTTTGGAGTGTAATTTGAGTGTAATTTGAGTGTAGTTTTTGAGTTGAATTTGAGTTATAACTTGAGTTGAAGTTATAACTTGAATAAAGTTGAGTGAAGTTGAATAAAGTTAGAACTTAAAAGAACGTGAACTTGAATAAAGTTGTAACTTGAGTTTAAATTTTTTCTGAGTTTTGATGCAAAAGAACAACCCCTAAGATTCTCCCTTATATCTTCTCTCACACCTCACACATTATAAATACACAACCCATTTTACTGTTTCTTCTACAATGAAATGACACTTTTGCCCTTGATTTACTGCTCCCTCCTTTGTCTGGCACAAGCGTAGTTTGGTCTTTTTAACCCGTGTGTGATGGGTTGCTTTTCCAGTTTTACCCCTGTTGTTTCTCTTTTCCTGGATTTTTGGGCTTTGGTTTTTTGGTGATTTTGCAACCATGGAGGCCTAATTTTTCTCCACGATTCCCTCATTTCTTCCGCCTTCTTCAGTTTTTCGGTGGAGTCTTAGAGCCTGTTTGGTTGGAGGATTCATTCTCTGATTCGAATCATGGTTCATGGTTCGCTACAGTATTTTCTCTCCTAAAAAACACACGTAAATCGAAAATGGTTCTAATCCATGAACCAAACGGACTCTTAAAGCTTCGTTCACTTTGCAGATTCGAGTTTTAAATTTGAGCTGAAATGTGACATTTTCTGAGAGCTTTTTACTGTAACAGAAAAAGTTAAATGTGATATTTTCTGAGAGTTTTTTATTGTAGAAATCTAAAACTGAAAACTCAAATCAATAAAATGAACGAGACCCTAATTTTCCCTCTTTCATTATATCATTTCCTCCGCCTCTTTCATTTCTTGTTTGTTTTATTTCTTTGCTCTTCTTTTCTCTGGGCTTTTTTGTTTAGCATTTCTACCTCGCTGTTTTCTTCGTCTCCCTTGCCCTAGGCTGTCTTGCCTCTTCGATGCCCTCATTTTCTCCACTTTTGTCACCCCGTTTTGGCGGATTTGATTTTGGAGAAAATGGTGTTACTTTGTGTGATTTGCATTTGGCTTCTTCGGCAGTTTTATCGGTGGCTTGTTAGAGAGATTGTAATATATCTCTCAATTTTAATATCACAAAATTGGATTAAAGCACATTCGGGAATAGTACGCTGACGCAAGCACGCGCTGCAGCGCGCTTGGGCGCTGCAGCCTGCGCAAAACAGACCTCTCAGGTCTGTTTTGCTAGGCCCGCACGCTGCAGCGCACAGCAGCGTGCACTGCAGCGCGCCCTGGGGGCTGCAGCCTGCGTAAAATAGACCTTTCGGGTCTGTTTTGCTAAGCTCGCGCGCTGCAGCGTGCCTCTTGGGCGCTGCAGCGTAAATTGT